ATTTTGTATCTTTCTAAAAGTTCTGTAATAAAACTCTTCATAAAATTACTATGATTTCTAATCAGGTTTTCATTCACACAACAGCTATCATAAAAACACAAGTGGTATTCAACAGCCTCATAGTCTTTAACAAAGCAATGTTTGAGATACTGAGTATACGTTATTATTATTTTTTAAACCTAGGTATTTCATTCCAAGCTATATGCATTCTACGTCTGTAGATGAAGAGAACTCCACATTTGGGTTCAACTCATTTCACCTTTACCATAACGCATAGTAATTATTCTCCTGAGCCTCATGAACCAGTATCAGTCAACTAATTAAAAAAAAAAAAAAAAAATCCTGGGCCGGGGATTGAGCTCAGCTGTTCTGCCACCTGCCTCGCAAGCACAAGGACTCAAGTTTGATTCCCGGTACCAAATAAATAAACAAGTAAATAAATCCATAAACCTGATATGTATCATCAATATAGGAACCAGCCTGATCTTTAGCTTCACTAAATTATGATTTTTTTTTTTGAGACAGGGTCTCACTATGCAGGTGTGATTGACCTGGAACTCACTTTGTAGCCCAGGCTGGTCTCAAACTCACAGCAATCCTCCTGCCTCAGCCTCCTGAGTGCTGGGATTACAGGCGTGCGCCACTATGCCCAGCTTCACTAAATTATGTGGCACCAACTCAGACCCAATGCCTCCCCTAAGAATGTATAAGACTGCTCTGCTCCTGGCCACTTACCACACAACATAATGGATGGAAGAGATGTACACCTAATCCAACTTCTAAGCACTTTTCTCTCACTGAAACAAAAATAATCTTTGAGCTGTACTCAATCCAGCTGGCATATGTCCTACCAGACCCTCAAGGAAACACATCCTGAGGTCAGCCACTTTAGTGGCCTTGGCAATTTAATAAGGGGAAAAGAACTCAACCACTTATGAAAGTAGTTTAAAGTAACAAGGAATCGATTTCCTTCCTTGGAAAGAAGCCAACAGTCTGGCTGAGGACCACTTATGAGCACCCACCATTTCCCACTGTTGATGGTGCTCCAGAAACTCATGGGGTTCCACACCATCTGCACTTCTCCCACACCCGGGCCACCGTTTCTCCATATCCAGACCGTGATTTTGGTTGTCTGAGATTCACCATTTAGGTGCCTTCCAATCTAGGATCCTATGGAAAGCGACCACACCTCTAACCCCAGCACTCTGAGGGGCAGATGTAGAAGGATCGCTACCAGAAGGTGGCTCCCCAGAGCAACTTACTGAGATTGTATCTCATGATGAAAAGTAAAAAGGGCCAGGAAGCTTTGGTTCAGTCCTCAGTACCACAATTTTATTTTTTAAGCTTCCTTTTAAGCAACTCCTTTCTTGGGCTTGGATCCACAGGGCCTGCTCTTTCCTACGTGTCCTGGTGCTACTGACCTTATTAATGTATAACTGTCCCTCCCATTATCACAGTGCTCTTTTTAAAAAAATAGGTGATGCTGATTTTTGTCAGTGTCTTCCTCAGCAGTCATTGGTTCCTTATCTTTAAATGCCAAGATCAAATGTCCACTACTTTCCATCCAAGAGCAAGTTCCTTTAGAACAGTAAAACTCGATGGACATCTACTGTAACACACAAAGTCCCTCCTTAAGTAACAATTTCTCTCTTGCCACACAGGACTTTGCAGAGATCTCTTCAATGGTGTGGATGTTCTTATCCGACAGCTTCCAGGCTGCCAGGGGCTCACCAGGCAGTCTTGGTTCTTCCCCCAAATAGTACAAATCAGCACAAGCTATTGCACTGGAACCCCCTCCCACTGACAGTCAAAAGCCAAGTCCTTTTTTGGTGTGTGTGTTTTGGAAGTTCTAAATAGTTTACTCCTAGGGATTCTTTTTTTCTTTTCATTGAGTTTATTGGTATAATCTAAGTATACAATACAGTTACGTTCATTATTGGGATCTTGTACCTTTACATAATAGGTCTTGGTTCTCATTTTTTCCCCTTGTCCCTGCCTTCTCTTCACCCCCTCCTCCCCTCCCCATTTACAAATACTTTATTTCCATTTTTTCAGTTTCTCATATTTTTTCCTCTCCCTTATTACCTTTCCCCCACCCTTCCCACTTTCCCTACACCTTTAGCCCTTTACTTCCTATTTCACATTATTAATTGTCTCATTAGGATCCTGTGTACTATTACAGTTTTTCACACCAGAGAAACTATTCGGTATGTCAGTTAAAGAAATCTCTGTATGAACATTAAAAATATGGAATCCTAAAATAAAACTAAAAAGGAAAGTAAAAGAGAAAAGGCAATGATGTAAGATTAAAATAATCCTTAATTCTGGAGATGAAAATGGTCCCTTAACATATTTAAATTGCTTCTTGCTCTTGTAGTCTTATCTTAGTCTTTTTTTTCATTATTTCGAGAATACTTTATTAGTTTCTGTAATCAAACCCACCAAGTCCTTTTTCTTTACTTTGTTTTTTTAGGGGGTGGCACACGACTACTACATGCAATCCCTGGGTATTATCTGATCCAAGATGACTCATTTTGAGTGGAAAGGTCTTGCTCGCCATCATTTGATAACGTGAGTGCCTACTGAGTAGGCAAAAAGGACATAAAAATCTACCTGAGCCAAGTGTGGTGGCACACACTGTGATCCCGACACCTGAGTGTCACCATGAGCTGGAGGCCAGCCCGGGCTACCTAGTGAGTTCAAGCCCAGCCTGAACGATACAGCGCAACTCTTACTCAAAGCACAAAATCAAAAAACACAAAAACAACAAAAAAAAAAACCACATGATTAAAAAAAAGAAGACACAAATGACTCAGATATCAGAAATGAGGGAAGACCATCACTACAAATCCCATATATACTAAGAGTATCATAAAGGAATATAAGGAACAACTCGATGTCTAGAAGAAATGAACCGATTCCTTGAAAGATACAATCTGCCAAACTCACACAAACAGAAACAATCTGAACAGGCTTACATCTATTAAAGAGACTGAATTAATAAACTTCCAAAACAGAAAGCACCAGATGGGTTCACAGATGAATTCTATCAACCACAGGAAGAAATTATACCAGATAAGAGCAGAGGGACTAGTTCATAACTTACTGTATGAGCCCAGCAAGATCTAACACCAAAACCAAACAAAGACATTGTAAGAAAAGATCCACAGTTCTTAGGAACACAGTCAATCAAATTCTACTATTAATATATGTGTTAACCAATATATAAATTATACATATATATATAAGCCAATCAAATTCAACAAGATATATAAAAACAACTACATACTACGATCAAGTAGGTTTTAGTCTAGCTATACAAGAAAATGAGACAGAATAGAAACTATAAAGAGGGCCAAAATTTAACTCAGTGCTGCCACTGCCTGCCTTGTAAACGCACGGTCCAGAGTTCAATCCGCAGTACCAGAAAGAAAGAGAGAGAGAGAGAGAGAGAGAGAGAGAGAAACTAGAAAGAGAGCAAGATAAATACAGCCAACTGATTTTAACAAAAAATAAATGCAATATAATGAAAAGATAGCGCCTTCAACAAATGGTGTTGGGCCAATTAGACATCCATATGCCAAAACAAAGCAGAATAAATCTAGAGACAGATCTCACACCCTTCACAAAAACTCAAAGGGGTCCCCAGACATAAGTCAGAACTATAAAACTCCCAGAAGATAACCTAGGGGAACATCTACATGCCCTTGATTTGGTGATGACTTGTTAGATATAATAAGGCATTACCCATTGAAGAAATAAGCCAGGTTTCACCAAAATTAAGCATTTCTGTCCTATGAAAGACACTATCTACAGGACGAAAAGATAAACCATAATTGGGATAAAATATGTGCAAAAGACACATCTGGTCAAAGACCATTACCCAAAAATACAAAGGACTCAAATTCCACAATAAGGAAATGACTGGCCCAATGTAGGCTAAGAACTTTCACAGATGTCATCGAAACAGATCACAAGCACTAAAAAGGTACGTGACGTCATATGCCACGTGGGAAATGCAACGCCAGATGATCAGTAAACATTTATCAGAAAGGCCAAATCCCAGAGCACCAACACCACGGAATGCTGGTGAGGACACAAAACAACACTCACTCCCTCTTGTTGCTGTGGTGGGAATGCAAAATGGTACAGCCTCTTTGGGAGAAAGTCTGGCAACACCTTACAAAACTAAACATACTTTTATCATACTATCCAGCAACCGTGCTCCTTAGTATTTCCCCAAGAAGTTGAAATGTCCACTTAAAAACCTATATACATAGTGAGACCCTGTCTCAAACAAAACAAAACAAAACAACAACAAAGCCGGGCGTGGTGACCCATGCCTGCAATCCCAGCACTTGGGAGGCTGAGGCAGGAGGATCGCTTTGAGTTCGAGACCACCCTGGGTTACATAGTGAGTTCCAGGTCAGTCCCAACTACACAGTGAGACCCTGTCTCAAAACAAGACAAAACAAAACAAAACCTATACACCAATTTTTATAGCAGCTTTACTCAAAATTTAGAAGCAACCAAAAATGTTCTTTACAGATGAATGAATTAAAAAGGCTGTTGTACTCCCATACAATTAAGTTTTCAATATTAAAAAGAAATGAACTATCAAACCATGACAAAACATGGAACTTAAATGCGTACTAGTGAGTGAAGGACAATCTGAAAAGGCTACGTATTATATAATTCCAATTATATGCTATTGTGGAACAGGCAAAACTATGCAAACAGTAAAAAATCAGTGGTGGAGGAGATTCAGGAGCAGAGGATGGAGGCTGGGGGGCACCAGGGATCAAACTCTGGACCTTGCACTTGCCAGGCAGGCAATGGCACCACCGAGCTAAATCCCCGGCCTGCGCATGGAGGACACTTAAGGCAGTGAAAAGTTCTCTTCACACTACAGGGAAGGACGGTGTGTTGGATTAACTAACGGTCGACTAGGCAGCGCCCAGCTGAACTGAGTCACCGTGGTCCTGGGAGCGGAGACCCACCTGAGGAGTGGCAGAGCTGGAGGAAGACTACGGCGCTGATTTTCCTGAGAAGCTTGCTGAAACTGGTTTTCCTGACGCAAACGTGGCCGTTCTCGTAGTCAGAGGAGCTCGGGTCCTCGCTGTCACTGGGAATGGCCGATGTTCTTATCAGGGAAGTCCTGCCCTTCACCGTGAGCATCGCTTCCTGCTCCACGCGACTCGCTCGGCCTGGTGGCACAGACCCTGCACCACGCAGGCGCAGACTTTCTGGCTTCCACCCCTGGCCTCTGGGCCTTCCCGGTGCAGGTCCTCAATACGGACCTTCACGGCCTCTGGCTGGACTGGCGGAGGAAGGACACTGCCTTGGGTTCTAGGCCTTTAGCCGGGTTTGTGCGGGACAATGACGTGGGATCCAGCCCTCAGCTGGATTCTTTGGATCTCTAGCGAGTGGACGGATCTGTTGCACTCTTTGCAATCGACTTTTTGAATATTATAAAATAATCCTGTAAACTACATGTCCTGCAGTAAATCTATTCCCTTGCAAACCCTAACTACAGCAAATGGATATCCTTGTACCTGTGTCAAGATTCAAAGAATGGATTGCAAGAGGGAGCCCGATGCGAGCTGATGGCCTTGGGTAACAACAATGGCAGTGCAGTGTTTATCACTGGGACAACTGACGGCCGAGGCTGAGGACAGAGGGAGGTGAGAGCGCCATAGGAAATCTCTACACCTTCCTATCAATTTTGCTATAAACATTAAATTTCTTTTTAAAAGTCAAACAAAAAAATTCTACCCACCCAGTCTCCCACATGGCTCCTAACCATGAACAGCTCTTAGCTTCTCTCCATGGAGACATGCTAACAAATAACGGGACAGTTGTTAGCCCTGGCCCCACTAGGCCGTGGCCACCCCACCTTCCAACAGCCCCTTCCTTCTATTTACCATGCTGGGTATGAGGCCTTAACCCATTTTCCTTCAGTGGGCCAAGGTCTAAGAATAGTTTTCTGCTACAGACAGCAGCCAATAAAAGGCATAAATGAGCAGGCTTTAAACTGTTCCTGACCTAGCTTTATGCTGTAAGAGGCACAATGAAAAGCTGGATTCTGGTCACTAAGTTTCTATCTGATTTGTTGCTATTCTTACATCTCACGGTACGCACACAGAGGCACTATAGGAGTGCAACTCTTCTTGGACTGTCTGGTCACAGTCCTTAGACACTAACTGAAGGCCACAAAGTTCTGACCATCATTACTAGGAGTCAGTATCCTAGCTGGGCACGGTGATGCATCCTATAATCCCAGTGACTTAGAAGGCAGAGGCAGGCGGATCCAGGGTTCAAGGTTATACAGCAAGATCCTATCAAGAAGAAAAGGAGGCCAGAAATAGCAGTATCTTCAAGCATAAAGACCCAAGCTCGATCCCTGGTACCAAAAAAAAGTCTGGGGGCAGAACCCCAGACTCACAAGAAATAGCAGTATCTTTACCTTTAACCACAGATCACAGATCAAGATCTTTGGTTCGCTTATCAATAAATTACTCTTTTCTGCTCCTTTTAGCTAATACTTACCAAATTGCTGATTGGTAATCATTCAGCTATTTAAATAATAAAGAGCATACAAACCAGAGAAAAGCACAGATCACTGTATTTATTACATGTTTAACTGAACATATTCAAGTTACAGAATTCAACTCCAAAATAAGCTATTACATGCCTGTTAAAGTGTCACTCGGTTGCATTTTTTCTAACATTTTAATCCAGCAGAATACGTTAAGACACATGTATAAATTCAGTGCACTTTCAGTGGCTCACAATCTTGAAACAAACAACACATTTGTCCAAAAAAAAAAGACAAATAGTCCGGTATTTGAAAAGTATTATTGATATGAAATAAAGGGAAAATGAAATACTGCACTTTCACGACTGATTTGGCAGCTGACAATGTAACACTGTCAGAGGACACACCTGGCACATGCGCACTGGGTAACGGCTCGGCTCTCCGGCCCATCTTCTCCGGCAGGACACTATGGGCCCCTTTCAACCCCTGTGCCTATCTGCCGCCTCCCCGGACCACTCTGGTGAGCTGAGCTCCTCCCCCAGCCGCTCCTACGCTTTCCTGTGGTCCCTTATTCCTCCAGGTCTCCACTCAGCAGATGCCGGGCACAAAGTCACCTAGGGGAGCACCCTCTCGGGGCTCTGATGCCAGGTGCTGCCCTTCCCTCACTGGATGTCTGGCCACAGGCCTCAGCCTCCCTGCTTGAGAATCATCCCCTCTGATGCAGAAAAGGCTGAGGTGCCTGGTTTAGAACTTAAAACATTTAACGAGTCTAGGTAGACTATATACTGATCTGCAGTTCAACCTATTTTTAAAATCATAAAAATCGTACGTATTCTCTTAAACATTTCAATAGAATCCTGTTACCCTACTTTTGATTAGTGGGTTCAGAAAGAACAAAAGTGATGTCACATTCTCTGTGGCTGACCCAAAATCATGCTCCCAGCCCTGAACCTGCCACCGATGCATATCTCCCGCCACTAGACAGCTGTGTGTGCCAGGCACGTCTCACGACAGCTACTGCTGCCACTCACGGACACGCCATGAGCCCTCCGGACAGCTGCCACATGCTGCGAACATCTGACCCAGCCCAGCGACCATGCAAACACGGAAATGCCGGGCACTGTGAGCGCCGCAGGCTGCTCTGCGCTGCGGAGTGAGAGACCATGCTCTCCACCGTCAGAGCAACAGCAGGGGCGCGGGACACTGGGGACAGGCCGGAAGGGAGGCTGAAAAGCAAGCTACGTCAGCAGAGTGCTCCACGGCCCCTGTTCGGGCTCAGCCTACGCCTGACCGTCTGGAAGTCACGTGGAGACGCAGCCACCGTCACTCTCTCAGCAAGGTTTCACTGCTTGCGTTTAGGGGTAAAATTAACAAAACGTAGCCTTTTTAAAATGTGTACCTTCACAGGGATATAGGCGCAGCTATGTTTATAGCGGCACCGTTTGTAATAGCTAAAACTTGGAAACAGCCCATGTGCCCATCAGTTGGAGACTGGATAAAGAAGAGGTGGTTTTTCTATAAAATGGAATACTACTCAGCCATAAAGAATGAGAAATTAGAGTCATTCATAGGTAAATGGGTACATATTGAGGATGTACTCCTAAGTGACATAAATAAGTCACACATGTGTAAATACCGAATAGTTTCTCTGGTGTGAAAAACTGTAATACTACATAAGATCCTCATGGGATAACTGACACTGTGAAATGGGAAGAAAAGGGCTAAAGGTGTAGGGAAAGTGGGAAGGGTAGGGGAAAGGTAATAAGGGAAAAGAAAAAAGTATGAGAAAATGAAAAAATGGAAATAAAGTGTTTGTAAATGGGGAGGGGAGGAGGGGGTGAAGGGAGGGCAGGGACAAGGGGAAAAATGAGTCATGTAGAGGTACAAGATCCCAATGATGAATGTAACTGTACTGTAGACCTAAAATGTACCCATAAACTAAAAAAAAACAAAAAAAAAGTAAAGTAAAACGTGTACCTTAAAAACCAGTCCCAAAACAGTGCATTTGTGTTGTGCACAGCACTGACTCCTGAAAGCTCCCTCGCCGAGACACTCGCGGCGCCTGTGCCGGGCACGAGTGACGAGGTGATTTACAAGCAGAACGCTGCCCAGTGGAGATGCGGCACTGACTTCACACTGTTACCCGTGCTGTCTCCGTGGTGATGTCAGAAGATGCAAATTAAGGACTATTTTCTGCAGCACCACAAGGGTCTATAAAACACTACTTTAGCTGAGGTACATGCTTCAGGTTTTGGTCCATCACTCAGATTAGGCAGAGCTTCTTCCGTCCCACACAGGCAGAGCTGCAGCGTGAACGTGGTCTACTCGGCCAGTCACTGCTTCAGCTGGATCCCTGAGGACAAGATTCAAAGACCGAGGCAGACAGCCCTGATATCTCCCCAGCGACCACTGACGGAGATTCCAGCCACTCGGAAAGCCCTTTTCATCTGTGTGCTTCTCACAGGGGTCTGTGTCTACACAGAAATAGGTTGCAAATGCTCTAGTTTTAAATAAGAATACAGTGATTCAGTTTAAGTTTTGAAATGGAAAATTTTACAGCCAAATTATCTCGAATTATGCATTATAAATTGTCCACAGTACAAAATATACCACAGATTGACTCTCTCCCCAGTATCCAGCATGCTTGTGGATGTCCTACAACCGCGAGCGTGAGCTATGCCAACCTAGGTCAACGGTCATCCAAGCAAAACACAGATGCACAACACACTGCATTCCAAAGCCAAGCCCCTGGTTAGGTTTGGGATGATCCATTTCAAGTCTCTGCTCCATCAATACAGAGAACTGGGTCTTGTCTTTATTACAAATTAGCTAGTATTAGAGTAAACTTGCTATAAAATTATTTATAACAAAATAAATATTTTTCAGTACCTCTATACTAAGGGATATATAAATCATTAGCATTTTATAACATTAGCTTAGGTCTCTTTTATGGACCCAAACATACTGTACAATCCTGAGTAAAGTTTAAGGATAAACTTTCTTGGGGATTGTTCTTGACCGAGAATCTGTAGGAAAACACATAATTCACAATTTGTAATGATCCCCATTTTCAAGAGAAGTACGAGTTCTTCAGCTTTGGTGATTAAGTTTATCTGTGTAAACCATTCATCTTGACAGGGTGCAGAGGCTCTGCTAGGACCCCTCCATCGCCTTTTGACACTGACAGGATAAATAGTCCAGAAGAGCGGGGCAGGAGGACCTGAACCACAGTGCTAATCCGTCGCCATGAACTCGGCAGTGCAGGAGGCTGGAGGTGGACGGAAGCAGCCGACAGGCCAACAGCCCTTCATCGCCTGTAGTAAAACAAATGAGAACTTCAGTACGGAAGGACTGCGACAGACATTTCTCCAGGAGGACAGACAAGTGGCCAACACACACAAGAACAGCTGCTCAACACCACCATGACGAGGGAAATGCAGACCAAAACGACAGCGAGACGCGCTTCACCCCCATCCTAAGGCTATTACTGAAAGGGCTGATGAAGATGTGCAGAAAGTGGAACCCTGAGGTGCTGCTCACGGTCGTGTAAAATGCAGTCACTATGAAAACGACACAGTGATTTCTCAAAACTTAAGTATGGAATTAACATATGATCCAACGGGTCCACTTGGGCATACAACCGAAAGAACTGAAAGCAGGGTGCAAATGGATATGCCGTGTCCACAGCTGCTATTTCACAGTAGCATCATTCACTGCAGCCAAAAAGTGAAAGAAACCAAGTGTCCCTGCCGGATGAAAGGAAGAGCAAAAGGTGCTCATTCGGAGGGTGGAATATTCAGGCTGAAGGAAAGAAATTCTGGCACACACAGCATGCTAAGTGAAATAAGCCGGACCCCAAAGGACAATACTGTGTGATTCCCCTTAGAGAAGGTACCCACGGTGACGAGTCCATAGAGACAAGGAGCAGCACGGTGCTGCGAGGGAAGGAGGAGGACGGGGAAAGGGGAGCCCATTGTAAATAGGTAAAGAGTTAAGAGTCGAAGAAGAGGAAGGAGTTCTGCAGATGGACGGTGATGACGGTAGCACAATGTGAATGCAGTTAATGCCACCAAACTCTGTATCTAAAAATAGTTACAAGGGTATATTCTATGCTATATATTTTTCAATTTAGAGACTACTTAATATGGTCTGAAAAACACACTCATCTGAGAGACATTCGTCACAGGAAGCAGTGCTCTGTGGAACACTCCGGAGGCCTGATCTGTGTTCTCACTGGGAGGAAGTGCCCAGGAGGCAGCATTTAGGACACAGGATGCCTCCCCAGAACTCCACCAACCTTGGATGTCAACCACATGAAGCCTCAGTTTCTGCTGTAGCGTTTTTAGGGCAGAAGGCAAAGCAGCTTGAGATTCTGATATTTTTATATTTTGCTTCACGTCATTTGCAAAGGATAACCACAGTTTACCAAAGTCTTCAGTTGAGATCTTTAACGGCCTGAGAATAATTTTTAAAATTAGATTTATATCCATAAGTATGAAGTAAATCTAAACAAACAGATTTCTAATTACTCATGGAAATAAAATATAACTGCTATAAATATGGGTACCACAAAGTTTATCATTTTTAATCAAATACAATTAGAATACTGTCATACTTCAACCTGATGAAAATACTGCAAGCAGGAGCTATTATTAAACTGCTATGACTTCTCAATAAATCACGAGGTTCTTGCTTTGGGTGTTAGTCATTCCAGTAAGACCTTACCAAGGAATTTCATGAATCATTCAAATGTAATACACAATTTTTCTTTCATGTATATTTTGGATTTGGGGATGATGAGATATTCTATCCGTCATGTAAAAGATTATGAATACAAAGACCTAGCACCTTAAATAAATTAAATGGAGAGAATTTTAACAAATATACAGTATTTTTAAAATCATTATGAGAATAAAGGTCAAATAGCTAATACTGGCTATCTCTAGGGGTAGATTATTGGGAATGTTGATATTATACTTCCATTTTTCTATCATATTTGAATTTTTATAACTATACACTTATAATCAAGAAAGATACAGAGGATTTGATTATTATGCACAAAACAACTGTCTCTGTTACACATACTGTGCTTCCCCAGGTAGCTAATTCTCACCATGAGACAGACCATCAGAGTAACAGAATGAAAACTTTTTGAGGTTAGATTTATAGAAGGCAACAGTCATAAATACTGGTAACAAGTCTAGAGACATGCTTTTACTAAAAGACTTTAAAGACTGGGTAAAATTACAGTAGTGTAATGTAAACAGTGGTCCTAGTTAAAGAGCTATTTACAGGTATCTGCCTTCTTGGTTCAGACAGCCTTCACTTTAAATACAGTATGCTCAAATACAGTATAGTATATTTATAAAACTAAATGAAAAGAGGTAAGAAATTGTTTGCAATTATTTTGGTAACACTGCACAGTGTCTAATATAATGCTAAACACTGTGCATTTAATAAAATTTAATAACTATTTTACAAAATTTCCTTATAGATCTCCAATGCTTAATAGATATTATGAAAAAAAATCAATCAAATGAAACTTTAAAAGCTTAAAAATACATGCAGAATCTTTGGAGTTATCTCAATTCTTCAAATACTGAAGTCTTTCAGAAGTTTCTCCAGATCACCAATCAATATCAACCCGTATCAGGCCTCTCTGACTATTCCACTTATTTTCCGTCAATTCATATCTGCATGTGTATTTAACATGATTATTCAAGGGCTCCTCCCCAGAATGGAAGCTCTCTGAAGGTAGATCCTATCTCATTTTTAACTGTTATACATCTGAGCACCTAGCATACTGCCTCTGTCTTGAAAACAGTCTAATAGTATCTGCTAAAATGACATTAATACTCCAAAAGTATTTACCTAATGAAATCTAATAGTGATAAGTTTACAGAAAATTCCAGCTGAACAGAATGAGTATCCACCATTTGATAATTGACAAAACCAGAGAGATTCTCTTCTGTAAAAGACTTTTCCATCTGCAGGCTATACTGAAAATTTCTGGTGCTTCCTGCTTCCGTTACAGGCAAACAGCATCCAGGGTGCTTACTGATCTGGAAATAAAAGTAATAAAAATACTGAAGGAATGAACAATGCACTCTATTACATGAATATGAATTTTCTATTTAATAAAGAAGTACAAAATCATACTCATGTGAGAAGTTAATAATAGACATCACAAAGATGACTGACAAAATTTACTAGCACAGATAATAAATATGATACAGGCCAAAGCTATGTAACAAATGACATTACAGTTAAAACCTACGTACAGGTTTGTTATTTTTCGAAGACAATTCTCGCCTGCTGGCACCCAGCCTCTGTGTGTGCAAGTGCTGCTAGGGATGGACCCCAGGACACCACACACGCTAGGCAAGCGCTCAGCCACTGAGCTGCACCCAAGCACCTGCACCAAATTTCTGAAGCTGGCAGCATTTAAGGAACATTAATAACACAGGTGTCTCGCATGCCCACTGTCCGCCATCACCCAAGCACTGGAAGGAAGAGGGGTTGGGTCTATCTTCATTTTTTAAGTTCCCAGAGGAAACAGGGTCAGTTTTATGGAAGACAGGTCCACCGGTCAAATGACTCAACCAAGGCCACGTAGGCATCAGTGAGGGCAGAAACACTTCAGAAGCGGCACTGCAGTTCCTTCAGGTGGGGAGGAAACTGAACTGATCGGAGCACTCAGCACAGAGCAAAGGGCCGTGGGAGAAAACAGCAGCAGGCATTGCACACACTTATCCAGGAGGTGACTTACTGCTTGGTGCTCCAACTGGCTCTGTTAAACAATCTGAGAATTTAGTTTCAGTGGTTATGATAAAGGTTAATGGACACTTAAAGAGTGCAGGAAGGGAAAACACAAAATACACTAAAAGCAGTAACAAATTACCATGTAGCACATCCCATTTACTGCTAGAAGCATCTCCTAGATATGAACTCAGGTAAGCCTCACAGCAACAGAGACACACTAACAATGGCATCATTTAAACAGGAGGAAACAGAGGCACGGTGCAGTCATATATCTTCACCATGTAGCATGGCTAATAAACCACAGAAGAGAGATTTGCAGCTCTGCAGTGAGAGCCAAGAGTCGACTTCTTTACGGTGCTCTACCGAACTCACTTTAACTCTATCGACCTCCCCTGGGACAATCACTATTATGCTTGCTGGTCTCATTTAAATAATTTTCTCTACTTAAAATAACAAAATGTATCCCAACTACTGCCTGTTTTTATTTAAAGAGGTAAGATGACTGGAAGAACCAACAGCAGAAATCCTTAGTACCACTGTCCACTTAAAAGGAGAAATGACGCCGGGCGTGGTGGCACATACCTGTAATCCCAGCCCTCGGGAGGCTGAGGCAGGAGGATCACTGTGAGTTCAAGACCAACCTGGGCTACACAGTGAGTTCCAGGGCAGTCTGAACTACATAGTGAGACCCTGTCTCAAAAGCAAAACAAACAAACAAAAAAAACCCAAAAAAAGCAGAAATGACCAACCAGTCATTGTCTTACCTTGAAGTTTTGCGCAGGAAAAATGTCTAAGTTAGCACCTTTCACCTCGGAACCACTCTTGCTACTGACTGACCAGACCATCAGTAAACAGTCATCTTTCCAGAGTTTGTAGGAGGACACAGACACAGTTTCATCACTACAGACCTCCACACAACCTGAACATGTGTCCTCTGTAGTTTCTTCCAAAAAACAAGAGGCTGAGGTGGTGTCTGTGGTCACTGACGCTGCAGCAGACGAAAGGGGCTGAAAAATTTCCATGTCGCTGTCAGCAAACAAAGAAGGTGCAGACAGGCTGAAGTCGGAGAGTTTCTCAGCCAAAGGCAGTTCGGACAAGGACTCTGAATCCGAAAGCTCTGAGCTGAGGGGAAAGTCCTTTGATTTTGCATCTTCTCCATCCTGCAGTGTAGTCAAGTAAGCGTTGTCTTCACAAGCCGTGTTTGACAGAGAATCCAGAGAAGAACAAGTCAGATTATGGGCACTGCTTGCTTCTCCACTCTTGGCCTCCTTGACTTTTGATTTTCTTCTGAACTTATGAGAAACGGTGTCTGCTTTTCCTAACTATAAAAATAAAACACAATAATATAAAAAGAAGTTATTCTACTAGTCATGAGTTTTAAACGTTATTCTATAATTTCAAATGAGCAATTTACTCACTAAATTCTACCTATCAAGCAAGATTAACATAGAATTGGAGATGAATAAAATGTTAAGGCCTAAAATTTTGAACACTACACTATCTTTGAACTATTTAGTTATATCTTATTTGTCATTAAAACCACATAAAGTGGGCTGGGGATTTAGCTCAGTGGTCTGCTACCTGCCTTGCAAGTGCAAGGTCCTGAGTTCAATCCCCAGTACCAGAAAACAAACAAACAAACAAAAAAAAAAACCACATAAAGTCAGAAAAAGAAGTAAGGTCAAAATGTCAGTCTTGAACAATTATAAAACTTGCTATATTTCAGATTAACACACAGAATTCAACAAATTAAAAAGTGAGAAATAGAGAAACCTAGTTTTTAAAAAAATTTCCAGAGTAGTTTAAGTTACCCTTATATACAGAGATAATCAAACTCCTGTTTCAGTTCATCTATGATCACTGTGATTCCATGGTCTATGCGTTAATAAGCAGGGAAGAAAGCCTAGTTTTACCTCAAGAATAAAACACAGAGGCTGTGTGAGACACTCAATGGGAAAGAATTCCTAACCCACTTGAGATGTTTTCCAGACGCAGGACACAGAAAGGCAAGTTCGCCTCGGTCACCTAACCCTCGGAACCCGCCCAGCATTGACGTGAGGAGAGTCAGGCCAAGGATCCCCACCGACCAGAAGGCAGTGCAGCAGCAGTGCCATTCTGGGGAGTCCCTGGCTCCAGCCTGCGTGGCCACCTTCACATGCCTCTGTCGACCAGAACTCCAGATCCCTTTCCAAGTTTTTCCAGGCCTCCCCAGCCCAGCACCTTCTTGCTCTCAACATACAAGTCTGTCTCCTCCCTCCCAATTCAGAAATCAGCAGGCGAAAACCAACATGCTAGGAAGGCAGAGTCAAACACAAGGGAAGGGCCCAGGGGTCAGGTGGATGAGGGACTCCCATTTCCAGCAGCTACAGGGTCAGACAGGCAGTGTACTGCATGGCACCGTCCTTCAGCCACAGCTGTTCTGCTCCTTTCTGTTTTCTCTTTCTCTTTCATTTGGGAAAATTTCTATCACTTTGTCTTCAAATTTAATGATTTCTCCTACACTGTCAACCAGAAGCTACACAGGCCAAAGACACTGCAGTGATGCCTTTGGTAAAACACTTACAGAAGCCCCAATCCACGGTGGGAAGGAGAGCCAAGCCTTCTCCCGTCCCAGCCGCCATCGCTCAAGCGCCAGGAAGGTAGCCGCATGGGTGCCCCTGAACCCCCATAAGCCCCCCCACCGTGCACTCTCAGACCTCCTGACTGTGCCAGTCTTTGGACCTACTCTGCAGAGGGAGAGGTGGTCATCAAGGGTATTTTTCTGAGTTCCCAACTTTGAACATCTTTAAAGAAAGGGCGTGGGAAAACTGTAATAGAACGTTGTGGAGTTCAACCATTCAGAAGGTTGGGGAACTCAATCTGGGCCTTGCAGCCCGAGGTCAGTCAGCATCATGGGGTTCAGCCATCAGCTAACTGAGATCAGGGGTCTTGCATCCTCGCTCTGTCTGAGCCATTAAATGGTAAATACACCATATTGAAATTTTGTTCACTGCAGACATGTTCTGGACTGCTTCTTGATTTCAATTTAATTCAAATGATTTAAGGGTGATAGACTAGTGACTACCACAGGTGGTCAGTGTCCAAGTTGT